ACATCCTGGTTACATCAGTCTGTTTCCTTACCACAGTTCACGGGTCACATGTTTGGTCCTGGAGAACACACTTACCTCAAAAAGTGAACCGTCTGCTCGTTTTTTCCCAAAACATTTAAGTACATTTGGCTTCACACTGGCAAACAGACGCAGCTTCAGCAGAAAACTAACTAGCCAACTAACCAACCAACCAACCAAAGCATGCAGGACCTGTGCCGCATTAAGTTGGCCAAAAGTTAGCTCAGTTCGGCTTTTTAGGATTCTTCTCTGCTGAACATTTGATAAAACTCAGCACTTTCTATTAAAAGTTTATTTCTGGACTGCTTTGCTTAAACCGGTCACCATTTTTTCCAAAAAGTTTCTTCAACCTTAAAATCGTAATGAATTCTGGGATAGGGTGGGCCACGAAGGTCTATGTCATCTGATGCCATTTTTTTTTTGACATTTTAGTCTGATGCCAGAGGCTGTTTTGAGCTCATGTCTGAGGACGTTTTTCCTGAGACCTGCAGATGTCCTAAAACAGGGGTGTCCAAGGTTTTAGATGTGTCCTTGATCCAACACAGCTGATTTAAATGGCTAAAATTCCTTTTCAACATGTCTTGAAGTTTTCCAGAGGCCTGGTAATGAACTAATCATTTGATTCAGGTGTGTTGACCCAAGGTGATATCTAAAACCTGCAGGACACCGGCCCTTGAGGCCTGGAGTTGGACACCCCTGTCCTAATATGTACACCGTAGTGGCCTCAGTAACTATGAAATAAAAGTTTGTAGCCAAAATAACCTTTACAAAGTTGGCCTCAAAGCCAGGCTGAATCAAAGACAACATTTTTGTGCTAACAGGAGTTTGTGGACCTGCTGAACCTGAAGCCAGGACAGAAGGTTCTGGATGTTGGTTGTGGCATTGGTGGAGGAGACTTCTACATGGCAAAGGTAAGAGCAACCAAGTCACAGGCCACACTTACAATGTTGATTTTAGGGCACTTATCATTATTGTAAAAGCTATAACTGTGGCAATTATTATGTGATTTTTCAGGCATTTGGAGTGGAAGTGCTCGGCTTGGATCTGTCAGACAACATGGTGGACATTGCAATAGAGAGGGCAAAAGCAGAGAACGTTCCATCAGTACGTATGTTATTCTGTTGATTACAACACCAAAGTTAATGACTGGACTAATGATTTATTTCCAAATCTTTAATGGTATTTACTGTTCCTCAGGTGCGGTTTGAGGTTGCCGATGCTACAAAAAGGACATTTCCAGAAGATTCATTTGATGTGATCTACAGCAGAGACACAATCCTGCACATAGATGATAAACTAGCCCTCTTCAAACGCTTCCATGTGTGCATCTCTTTAAGTCTAAATGGTTTCATTTCATGAATTTCCCAACTTTTCTTGTAATTTGTAGAGAAAAAATGATACAGCACTAAATGTAACAAACATCTTGTTCTTGTTGATATCCAGTCATGGTTAAAGCCAGGCGGACAGTTGCTTATCAGTGACTATTGCTGTGGGAAGAAGCCCTGGACCCCAGCATTCGAGGCCTATGTGAAACAAAGAGGCTATGTCCTGTATACGCCTTCAGAGTATGGCAAGGTAAAAATACTCGTGTATAAAAATGCTAGTAGTTTAAAACTTTGGACTCTTTTCTAATATGTAGATTATATTTTCTGTTTTTGCAATTCAAAATCCTGTTTAACAGTATAAGCAGTGCACTGATCCACTTATGAGTAAATGTGTTTAGAAGAATATAGAAGCAGCCAAATTTTCCAACATTACAGTATGTCCAGAGAATAGACTTTGTGTGTATGTACTACTGCAGTCCATCAGTTGATGGTGCTGTCCCCACACCGCTTAATCCCTCCTCTGCCTCCCCATCTACAGTTCATTCAGGAGGCTGGTTTCAGCAAAGTTCGAGCCGAAGACCGCACAGCCCAGTTCATCGAAGTGATTAAGACAGAGCTGCAGAGAGCAGAGGCCATTAAAGATGAATTTATTAAGGTGGGAATGCACAACCACAAAGTTCACACAGTGTGTCAAAGATTGCACCTTCATAATTGTGTTACGACAGAAAGCTAAATTCCTCCTTTAGTGTGCCATCCAACACACCTGTATCTTTTCCCTGCAGGAATTTTCTGAAGAGGATTATTTTGCAATAGTGAATGGATGGAAAGAAAAACTGGAACGTTCCAACAGTGGAGACCAAAGATGGGGACTTTTTCATGCGACAAGAGACTGAGCTGTTGAAGCTCGCCGTGTTAGAGATAATAAAAGAAAAAAGAAACAATGTTTCTGCTACATTATTCTTTTTCTGGGTATCCTGTTGTCTTTAAAGCAAATCACTGACAACTCTTTCATTATTTTGTGCCAATATACCTTTAACTAAGTGATCTACACTTTGCCATCTTGCATTTCTAGTGAGCAAATATTTTTGGGAGTATAACAACAACGGAGTGTAAAAGAAGGTCCAGACAACTGCACAAAGTAATCAAGGTTTATTCTGATTAAGCAGGTTGTTGGTGTCCAATTACTTAAATGTAAACAAGTTGAAATGAGTTCTTGAACTAAAAAAAATAGCACTGTTCTCAACCGCAGAGGCAAAATCAATTGACAGCAGATTGATTTTTGAAGGACGATGCAATTAATTATTTCTAGTTAAATTAACAGGTGCACGAATTAGTTAACAAACAGTGTATTGCAACAAGCTTGAGTAGCTAATACTGAGCAGATAAACCTGAGGAAAACAAATTCAACAGGAACCAGTTAAACTGGTTGAAGCAGTCAGCTCATCTTTTCTGAGCTGTCTGCATTCTCATGACATCAGTTTACAGTTTAAAACCATCAATTGGAGTTGCAAGTATTGCAATTTGCTCATCTGGCTGGATTGCCACATTAGGTAGCTCCACATGTTTGATTTGGCAGAGTTTCATGCCACATGCCCTTCCTCATGTAACCACAAAGAAACTTCCATCTCCATCCAGGAAAAATAACTAGAGATCTTTTGTTTGGTAGGCAAATGTGTAAACCGCTACAATAAGAGCCACGGTTGGTAAAGCATTGCAACACCTCCTAAATCCCAAATGTTTAATTAAATACATAGTTTATCATTTCTTAATAAAAGCTGGAATAAATCAGTCTCATGCATTCTAAAGAAAAATGCCAATAAATAAAAGATAAGTACTCCGTGTTTAACTGCTTCTTCAAATATTCTTGTATGCCACATTCATCCACTGTGCAGATTTGCAATAATGATTCTGATCCATTTTTAAGTTTGTGTGTTAACGCAGCAGATTTTCCTAAATGCTAAAAGTCTTCGTAACACTTTATAATGCCACTGTTAATAAAAATGAATCGCTAACTTTAGTTAATAGTGTATTACAACAGTCATTATTATTGCTGCTTACTGTTTGGTCAATAGCTGGTTTGTAAATCACTGTAAGTTTGCAACTGACCGTTATAAAACGTGTTTGGCTATAATAAAGCTGAAGCCTCTGTTTCTAATACAAACCAATCAATCATGACCAGAAGCTGTGGCTTGTGTCCTCTTTCACTTACAGTTTAATTTTCATTTCGGTTAGGTTTACAGAAAGGTTGTGGTTTGATTTGAAATACAAGTTAGGAGTGAAACCCCTGTCACTATTGCCATGACACACGCATCACTGCTTTACACCCAAGCACGCCTTGTGTGTAATAAACAGTAGTATTTTATGTCCTGGGAACGAAAAGGAAATATGTCATCAGTGATTAAGCCTATCCTACAACACATATATTTAATAAAATGTAATATTGATTCTACAATTATGGCTGTTGGCAAAAAGATATTTCTACAGTAAAGCAATGAATCTTTTTAATTTGAATGGTAAAATATACTTTGCTGCGTAGCCCTTGTTAGTATCGTTTTAGATCCATTCTTACCTGAAAACACTGCCTTAATTCAACAGGGCACAGATTCGACATGCTGGTGGAAACATTGCTCTCAGATTTCACTCTGTATTGGCCTGATAGAATCACACAGTTGCTGCAGATCTGTCGGTGGCACATCCAGGATGCAAATTTCTCATTTCACCACAGAGGTTCCAAAGGTGCTCTATTGGATTGAAATCTGGTGACTGCAGAGGCCATTTGAGTTCAGTTATTAACTCGTTATGTACAAACTTAGTTTATATGTGGACTCAAACACTGTATTTATCATTCAACAAATATCAACATGCAGAATATGAAAATTTTCTTGTCATCAAAAGCTAAATAGTTATCCAAGTCACTACTAAGTAACACTTACAATATTTATAAATTATGATTTATAGCCCAAATCATGTGGTTTTTGATTTTTTTTATTAAATATTCATTTGCATGTATGAGTTTTAAAATTTTTATTCTATTTTCTATATCCATACATCCATTATCTTATCATTATCAGGATTGTGGGGGAAAAAACCTCACCAAAACATGGTGAGGTTTTTTTTTATTTGTTAAAAATGTACTGTGTAATTTAACTAGGGGGAAAAATCACACTGATGATGCAGAAGTCTCCAAAACTGACAAAACCCATGCATCAAATATGATACTCTAGGCCTTAAGGGGTTAATGCGGGCAGACACAACGTGCTTCACTCAGTGTTCTGCAGGATGTTTATTTCTATGGCATTCTGTGCCCTCTCCACCTAATGACGTCTGTGTTTACAGGCACACAGTGTTTTAACAATCAGGCCTCATTCGTGCTATTTTTGTCATCGCTCTCTATTTTTCTGCATTTCCTTTATTTCATGTATGAATCCACAGTGAATGTGGGACCTAACATTCTACACAGACCTAAGTCATCTTGTTTATGGCAGACTTCGTATACAAAGATATAGATATATTTATATCAAAGATAAAGATATATTTACTGTTCCAAGTATATCTTGGAACAGTAAATTACACAAATGCACTCAAATGAAGAGTTCATTTCTGTGCCTCTCTGATATGATTCCTATAGAAAAAACATAACTGACTACATACATACACAGTATATTTTTACAAGGTTTCAGCACTGACGTGCATTCTTCATTTTAAATGGCCATAATAACCTGAGCTCTTTTATTGGGAATGGGAATGAGTGCTTCAGAGCGAAGTACAGAGCATCTCCCTGTCACCAGGGTTACTCACTGTAGCCATGGTTACTCATTGTCAACTACGTGTGCAGGTTGAGAGGAGAAAGTGCTGCTGTTTAGGCCTGGCATTACTTTGAGCAGCATGAATGATTTTAAGAATCAATAGATTTATTTGTATTTTTCTCAGGTTTCTCTTGATGGTCTAAATAACTTTGTTATGATAAATTATTTTATTTTATTTTTTCAGATTAGGCCTACGTGAGAAAATGAAGGTCAGACAGGGTGTGAGGAATATGTGTGAATCGCTGACTCAGTGTGTGAGATACAGATTTGTAGCAACGAACATGTCAGAAGCACTTCACCAATTCACCCCCCTGAGTTTGTATCTAATGCAGTGGCCATTTCATGCCCTGTGTCTGCTACAGTAGCAACAGGAGGCAGCTCCTTCCACCTGCGCCTCCCCCTCACTTTGTCTTTTTTTTCTAAAAAAAAAAGCTTCTTCTGCTGAAGTGCTTTAGCTGGTTAGCAACCACCAGTTTGTCAGATCCAGACCAATCACCAGTGACAGCTAACAGGTGCTGACGTTGGACCTAAAGGAGGAATGCTCTGCTGTGATTGGTCGGACAGAGATGGGAGTGGGGCTTCGCCCCAGATAAATTGTGGCAAACACATACCTAAATACAGGTTTCCTCTAATAAACATTTCATTCAGCCGGGAGATCAGAGGGTACTGAAAAAACATCTGGAAGTAGAGCCCCGAATACCCATGGGTAACGACAAACCTGTGTTCAAGAAACCAGTTTGAGATGATTTGAGCTTTGTAACATGGCGCGTTATCCTGTTGGAAGCAGCCATCAGAAGATGGATACGCTGTGGTCATAAAGGGATGGACATAGTCAGCACCAATTCTCAGGTAGGATGTGGTGTTTTGAACAACTAAACTAGCTAAAGTAGTAATAATGAGGCCAGAGTGTACCAAAAAATATCCCTCACACCATTACACCACCTCCACCAATCTGAAACATTGACAGGATACAGCACGGATTCATGCTTTCACATAGCTTACACCAAATAACTACTGAACGTTGCAGCACAAATCGAGACTCACCAGACAGGTCAATGTTTTTCCAATCTTCCGTTGTCCAATTCTGGTGAGCAGGTGTGAACTGCAGCTTCAGTTTCCTGTTAGTATCAGCAAACCACTGCGCTGCACTTAGCTGACAGGAGTGGCACCCGGTGTGGTCTTCTGCTGCTGCAGTCGATCTCCTTTAAGGTTCCATGTGCTCTTCTTCATACCTTTGTTGTAACAAGTGATTATTTGGATTGTCTGGATTGTGCCTTCCTGTCGGCACGGCCACTCTCCTCTGGCATCAACAAGACACTTGAACCGCTGTGAGTAGCAGAGAATTGCTGAACACAGATTTTTTTTTCCCCTTTTCAGACCATTCAGTAAATGTTCAGTAAAGAGAAAGTTGTATGGGAAATTCTCAGTACAACCTCAGATATTCAGACCAGCCCATATGGCACCAAGCCACATTCAAAGTCACTTATATCACGTCTCTTCCCTATTTTGATGCCAGATTTGAACCTTCAGCATGTCAGATCTGTTTTAATGATAGTTAAGGAGGTGTGCCTAACACAACGGCCATTTACTGTAAGCATTTAGCTGATTCTGCAACTGAATTATTATAATTTTTGAATGAAAAAAAACCAGCCCATTTCAAACACGCGTTATAACAAAGTAACAATAAATCAACTTGGTAATAAATGCAAGAACTTGGTAAAACGTCATATTAACATAAGATCTGCAGAAAGAAATACCTCAGCTTTGTCTCTTTCAGACTGCTCGAAGCGCGACTTCGGCTGACTTCCTTTGACACAGGCCCCGAGGACGCGCCCACTGCTCTGTATGGCTACGTACCTGCGCACGGAGAGCTCACACGACGAGAAGCAAAATATTCAGACGAAAAACATGGCGAGGTTAAGTGAGCATGGGATTCGCCTGAGTTCTGTAAGTATTTCAGATATTTGCTGTAGAGGATTCGCATTTGTTTCGACACTTTAGAAAACGTTCGCTACAGCGGCTCACAAAAAAGAGCAAGTGAAAGTTTAACTTATTTTTTTAAATTCTTTTTTTCATTTCCAGATGAGTCCTTCCTTCCTGAACAGCAACTCCACAAGTCATACCTGGCCTTTCAGCGCTGTGGCAGAATTAATAGGTAGGCAATAAGAAATTTCAGGCATAATACAGAAACGCTCCACAGTCCCCTGCACCTGTTGATGCAGCTTTTCGTGGTTTCTTTCGCACCGCTCTTCCGCTATCGCGCACAAAGTTGGCGTGTTGAGCAGACATTTGTGTTGGTGCAAAAATGGACCGAACGGACTTCCTCTTTCACGAGTTTGCGCTCACACGCCTAAAGACGTGTGCTGGCAGCTGCAGACGCTGTGTTGTGGTAATAATCCCTTCGTAAAGTAAGGATAGAGGAGCTCTGCAGTTTGAAATCATAGTGCTGAGATATTAGTAACTGCTCAACTGCAGTGAGGTTTTCTGCAGTGTCGGTACTCTTACTTCTCGTGAGCATTAACAGAATCAGTTTGGATTATTTTTGACAAAATACATATAAAACGTATTTGTAAATATGCAGCAGTAGCTTATTTGCGCCTTTATGTGACATAAATGGATCGTGTCTGGGCTGTCAACATTGCCATTCCTCCACTCTGTGCGCTCTCATTGGTTCAGACGTGCTGACCGTCTGTTGGCTGCTGAGGCTTTTTTAAAAACCGGAACAGCGAAGGGAGTGCGCTGTAGAAATGCATTCGCACCACTGTCACACGTGAAAGTACAGGCTAAAGTTTAGAAACAACAAAGGGAGCCACGTGCTTATTGGAATGAGCTCGCAGTAATTCGCAATAACCCTGCAGAAAGTTCCAAACTCTGTATGTTCGATGTTTGTTGATCATGGTGTGATGCAATTAGTGGCTGTGCCCCACATTGAAGTATAGATTACAGCACATGCAGTAGCATCCAGAGATCAGCAGTGGAGTTGTAGATCTAATGATTTGTTCCTGCAGCATGAGTCTCCTTCTCGGATCTATAATGTGCAGTATCACTTTGACTATGCCTGCAGGAAGTTCACGTTGTAAAGAAATATAAGGAAGGCATTAAAGAAACTAGCCATCCCATGTGCTTCTCTTGTTTTTCTTATTTCCAATTTTCTGTCTGTCGTCTTCTAGACAATGCCTCAGACCCCGGTGTGTCCGCTAAACAGTTCTGGATAGATGTAGTTCATGAAACGGATCACCTCTGTCTGTCTTTCATCGATAATGGCAGCGGCATGACCCCCAACAAACTGCACAAGATGCTCAGGTGAGACACGTGTGAAGTTCACACACAAGGAAAAAAAGAAACATAGAAAGACACAGTAGTGCTGCATACCGATTGTGTTCCTCTTTTCTGCATTTAACCTACAGACACACACGCGCAGTTTCCAACTGTGGCCTCACATGTGCCGCTTTGTGTCACATTCACACATTAGGCTAGTTTTGTCTTCTCAGCTTGCTTCTCGGTGTTCGATAATTAACACTTGCTCGCTTTTGTGTCCAGCTTTGGTTTTACAGAGAAGGGCTCGGGGAGGGCCAGTCAGCAGGCCATCGGGGTTTACGGGAACGGCTTTAAGTCGGGCTCCATGCGCTTGGGGCGTGACGCGCTCATCTTCACCAAGAACGGCGGCTGTCAGACTGTGGGGATGCTGTCGCAGACCTACCTGGAAAGCATTAAAGCCCAGGCTGTCATCGTCCCCATTGTCCCTTTCAACCAGCAAACCAATATCCTTCACAAAGGGACTGGGAAATATTAGGATACAATATTAGGTTTACTTTGTGAATTTGCTGATGCGTAGGCGTTCTACATCAGTATGACTTCCTGATTTTTTTAGTGTGAGAACTGATGAGATCATTTGAATGGCACAGGGTGTGTGGGTGGGGGCGGTGGGCAAGGGATGACATGAATTAAAATAGGCCAAGTTTAAGGCAGATAACAGGAAACAAATATATTATGTAAATGTGTTTATTACCATACATGCTCCCTTATGTTCTGACCTTAATTCGGTGTTACAGTTATTAGTTGTGACCGAGGATTCACAGGCCAGTCTGACGGCCGTCCTCGACCACTCGATCGTCAAATCCCTGGAGCAGATACATTCACATTTTGACTCAATTCCCTCCAAAAAAGGCACCAAGATATTAATCTGGAACATCCGCAGGTCAGAATCACATGTTCGTGTTACATTAAAGTTGAAACATGATAAGATACGAGTGTTCCACACGATAAACATCTCCCTTCCACCACTAGCAGTTTGATGAAGCCAAATGTGTGAAATCTGTAATCTTGTTAGATAACTGTCATGATGTCAGTCATTTTGTCGAACTCTGTACAACACAGCAGATTAGCGCAGACCTTATTACACTGTTTCTTTAGTGTCAGTCAAGTCAAAACATCTCGGTTAGAGTTTCCAAGTTGGCGTGTTGTGACCATTGGTTGAAAATACCACATGACACTGAGGAGTGTGCAAGCACAGTCAGTATCAGAGGGAGGCAAGTGGGTACAAAAACACATATGTAGTATTTGTATAAGCATGGTTCTAGGCAAATCTATGCAAAGTGACCCACATTCAAATGGAGAACAGAGAACCTCCTAAATTGAAGTTTTGAATTTTCTCTTTTCCTTCTTCAACTAAAATTCTTAGAGAGAAATGGTCGACTGAAGTCAGGTTCTTGTAAAGTGGCAAAAAGAACCAGGTCAGGTTTCTCATACCTCCTATTTCACTTCCTCTTCATGCTGGAGAGAGAGATGATCACCACAATGAGTATAACCATCCAGCATTTCAAGTATTGCCCTGTGATTCAAATCCTAGTAATTAGACACAGGCGGTAAAGCCATACAGTGACTTTGTGTTGCAAATCGTTCCCAATTAATGAAATGTCTTGCAAAGCCATCTGCGGAGCTTTCTAGACAGCCATTACAGCGTGTGCAGTGAAACACAATTACATGTTCTAACAGCTGCTTTCTTTCGTGCTATCCCGAAGAGCTAAAGACGGTAAGATGGAGCTCGACTTTGAGACCGATCCGAATGACATTCGTTTGCCTGAGATTCAGATCGAAGAGTTGAAGAAGGGGCTGAAGAATAGCGGATCCTTGAGAACTGAGCAGAACATCCCAGACATGCATTACAGTCTCAGGGTGAGTGGGTAAAAAAACACTTTACCATCTGTTATTATGTTAGAGCCTCTGTGGTCCATAATATTAATATTTGTCAGGGCTTGGGGACCTGTTCAGGAGGATTTTAGTGTTAAAGGTTGTGATCAGGGTTAGAGAAAAATTCAGGGTGTAGTGGTTGTGGTTTACGTGTGGGTTTAGCCATACAAGTGCTGTGTGTGTTGGGGGCTGGGTGTAAGAGTGTCTTCCACTTTTTGGCAGACACTGAGTACCTCCACACTACTGTAGACAAACTGTCAACCTTGTGGTTTTGTAGTAACACTGCCCCAGTTTCATTAAAAAAATGTTTTTTTTTTGCAGGTTTCAAATGATAATTCGCAAATTCTAAGAGTTCACTTTTTGTTTGTAAATCATCTTTTTCATGTTTCAAGATTAAAAAATAAACCCGCTGGTGAAAAATGTGCGTTCACGAGTGGATTTCAACCGACAAAAGAGTATTTCATATTTAGAGTTTTCAGTTTTAAGCCTCGCTTGTTTTCTTTCTTTTTTTTTCACCTTGTCCGTTTTATTTGCTTTGCATGTTCATCACAGGCCTACCTCAGTATCCTGTATCTGAAGCCGAAAACACAGATCATACTGAGGAGGAAGAAGATTCAGGCCAAACTGGTAGCGAAGAGGCTGATACACATTGAGCATGACGTCTACAAACCCCACTTCAGTGTATCCTTATGCTATGTGTGTGTGTAACAGCCAAATTCAAGTGTAAACAGGAAGTGGGATTCGTGTGACTGTTGGAGATGAAGCATCTGTGTTACTTTACTGGGGTCTGGTAAAAAAGTTTAAAAAAACACACACACACACACTTTTGGTGCTTAACAGATGTTCATGAAGGGAAAATCCAAACAAGCTTCACAGTGCCAGTTCATGCGGTCTCATATCTAGTTATTATTATTTTTTTAATCTTTTCATGTCTTCTAGAGAACTGAGATTTTGAAACTGGGGTTTTGTGTTATCGTGCCAGGGATCGGTTCAGCGCCCACAAAACCGAATTTTTAATCTGAACTTTATCTGTTTGCCTATCTAATATATGAATGCATGCAACAAACCAGACCTCAGGGGTAGGATAAGAGTTATGAAAATTCTGAATTATACTCTACTATAATTAATAATAAGGTCATTAATAATAATTGCATGAACAATGTTACATTTTTTCCATGTTTTTTCTGTTAAAACAGTTACATTAGTAACATCCCTTTAATTATATGAAAATTGCATCATTATTCTAAACTTTGTCAGTTTTCTTAACTGGTTTTTGTCAGAAAGACAAAGTGAAGGTGACCTTTGGACTTAACCCAAAAAACAAGGATCACTATGGGATTATGATGTACCACAAGAATCGTCTCATTAAGGCGTATGAGAAAGTGGGCTGCCAGCTAAAGGTAAAGTAAAATAATGTTGTGTGTTACAAATACTGTGGGGCTACCCTGGGTACCTGCCTCTGCTTAATAAATGTCACTCTTAAATTTCCTTCAGACTTCGGGCCTAAGAGCGGGCATTGGCGTCATCGGCGTCATTGAGTGCAATTTTCTGAAACCTGCTCATAACAAGCAAGACTTTGAGTACACCAAAGAGTACAGGTAACAAACAGTAATAAATCAGCTAGTTGCTTTTTTTGTTTGATTGTTTTGTTTGTGAATATGAGCTGTTGAGTTGGAATAAATAGTTTCATCCTGTATGTACAAAGTTAAGAGCGAACGCGGTAATTTGATCGTGTAATCTTCAGTTCATTTCTTTTTCTGTCATTGTCTTATTTTAAACACATTTACAGTTGTTTCCTCTTTTTACTCCCAAGACTGACCCTCGGAGCTTTGGGCCTAAAACTCAACGACTACTGGAAGGAGGTGACAGAGAAGAAGGCCAGAGAGCGAGAGTTTCAGGCTCTAGACAAAAATGAGAAGGAGGTCCAGGAGGATGTCGATGAGTAAGTGTTAACTGTTTTGTTTTTTTTACACAGATGAAGTCAGGGCCAGATTTTGAAAAACAGTGAGGTCAGACAGTGGAAATAGTTGCTGTTAAATTTGCTGCATTATTAGAACGTTAATACTTTATTGTAAGTTATGTGTGATGCTTTCATATTCCAAATTATAAACAAATAATACATTGCATAAACATTATATGTTGAGGCTCTGAATACAGGTTTACAGTATGAACGCTGATAAATAAGCTATGGTTATTTGTCATTTTACCAAGCTATAAATATATAGGAAAAAATGCTTGTTTATGACACTGTTACAAGCTGACATCATTGCAGACTAATAATAATTTCTAAAGTTGCCATTACAAAGTTTTATAGGCCTATTAATGTGGAGTCTGTTGGCTAACTAAGGTGTTTTATACTCAGTGATGTTGCCATTATGAGGGGTGAGGCCTCAGTGTTCTCTTGCATGCCAGTCATTGCTTTGTATCATCAGGTGGTATTCATTGTTGCTGTTCTCACACAAAGGCTGCTGCAGCTGTACAGAGATCAATTGAAGTGGTCATTATGCAATAGGCTGGCTGTGCCCTTAGGCCATTTCTCACATACAGCATAAGCCTTTTTTTAAAATTCAGCTTTAAATTTTATTTCTAGTTCTAAAAAACAAAACTGCGTGGTGTTGTAGTGGTTAACCCTGTCGCCCAACGACAAGAAAGTTCCTGGTTTGAACCCTGTGTGGAGTTTTCATGTTCCTCATGTGCTCGTGTGAGTGCCCTCTGGCTACTTCCTCCGACAAACCAAAGATAGCATGTTAGGCTAACTGGTGACTTGAAACAGGCCATGGATGTGAGACGTGAAGGCTTGAAGTGTATGGAATAAGGTACTGTATGGTGTGTTTTGACTTGTAGTCTAGAGCACCTGGAGTGGTCAGTGAGGCTAGAAAAGCCAGTCCATCACTGGTATAACGAGTATAGACCCAGACCTGATATAGCTGTAGTGCAAACAGTGAACACTCATCCGGTTCATCTGGCTCTAAATACGTGCCGAGTATTAAGTGCAGTTCAAACAGAAAGTCTAAATGTAGAACTCAGAAAGGTAGGAAAGGTAAATAAAGGTTTGGTGACAAGTATAAATAAGTAGGGTGAAGCAGACAGCTAGAGGAATAAAAAAGTAACGGATGCCAAAAAGCTAGACACATGGTAAATAGTACTATCAAAGGAGGAAATAATATAAAAAAAAACCCTCAATAAACCCTTACACTGCGTTCAGTGGCGCCCAATATTATTAGTGCACTGCTTTTCTATACAGGTGGTTTACAAACATGTCACTGCTGATAATCTAACACTCCTCACTCACCCATCAAATAAGATCAGTGTACTTCAAAGCCCCTCTGTTCCACATCGCCGCACACTGTTTTGAGGAAACGTGCTGTTCAACTTGGAAGGGTTTCCCACAGTTTTCAGGTTTTTTCATGACCAAAATGTGGAGTGTTAATAACATATCCTCATTCCAAAGTTCAGTTCAGCCGCAGGCCAGTGCATGTTAGAACTTGGCTATTTATCAAAGTCATAATATCATATCTATATTAAACCA